CCTACTTTGCAGGCTTGACAGAACTTTCAAAATTAATAGTTTCAACGTTCTTACGCATGCAGTTTTTGATGGTTCTGTAGGTCTTTTTCGAAGAATAGTAATAAAGAGGCAGGGAGGTGTTTATCTGTTTGACAGTGATAGAACATTAAAAAAAAAATTAGGATAGATCCTCTGAGGTGGCTTGTTTTAAATAACGCCCTGAAGTGGGTTTTTTTGCAAGTTTTAATGCAAACCTGTGTTGCGATGGAATATTCACCTATAAATGGAAAAAGCTGTTAAAAAAATACACCACAAAATATGAAGTTCCTCTATTCTAAATAAATCCTAAAATAAACCACTGAAATGTTTAGAATGCTACATCCAGAAATGCTGATCCGAAAGCTTACAAGCTTATGGGGAAAAATACGTAATGGATTCAGTTAGGATTACCTCAGCTTGGAGGCCAGGCTGTTCATATATATCAAACTATACGCATAGAGATATGATCAAAAGCTAAAAATTGTAATTATTGCCTTGTCAACCCATCCATCCATTCCTCTCTCCCTTTCTCCACAAAAACGGCTTCATTATTTCTGGTCTCCCCACAATTCAGAAAATGGTATTTTAAATACTTCACAGCTATTCTTTATAGCCTTGTCAACCACGAATGTTATTCTATATCCAATAAGATCACGTAGTTTGCTCAGAATCTGTTTAGCTGCACAGTGCAGATGCTAGTCGTCAGTGACAGACTCGCTGTCTAGCGCGGACAGTTCCCACAGCGCACAGCAGCTTCAACTGCAAACTAATGAGCTTCAGCTTGAGATGCTACAGGAAGCAGTTCATATAATCTCTATTAAAAAAGCCCCAAATTTCCATAAATCCTCTCTCGGTTTCTGAATTCTACTCACTGTCAAATCGCATGCAGTAGCCATACTGATGACAATAGCAGACCGATTTGCCAGTAATCGGTCATTTTTTTGACCGTCAATTAGTTCCGCTTTTTGTATTTTTTAATGTTGTACATTCACATTACATTAATCATAAAAATAGCAGTAAATACAAGAGCTTTCTATTTCATCTCTGATATACAAAAGCGGGTGAAACAACGATCCATTTAACCCACTGCTGTTTCTCTAACAGTTGCCAAAATTCATCAGCTATGGAAGATGATAAGAACAGCACACGTACACAGCAGTACTTCTTTTCCTCCACTGACCTGCAACTCAACAGCCTCCTGATGCAGAGCTGCTATATAGCATAGGTGTTTAAGAGAACATAGGACATTTATCTTCCATTAATTTTTCTTACTGCTCTTTGAAACTATGTAAATACTTAGTGTCCACAGTATACAGTAGCAGAGTTCTACAGTTTACTGTGTAAGTAAGTAAGTAAGTAAGTATCTCCTTTGCTTTGAACCTGGCACCTAGCGAAATTAATCTGAAATCTCTAATTCTTGCACTATTGTTTTCTTTTTCACTATTATTTATAGTTCTGAAAGAAACATGAGGGCAAAAACAGGGTAGAGATCATCTTCTTTTCTTTAGACACAGGGAAACATTTGTGCATTCAAACTCCGGCCAACACAGATTCTTCTGCCCAAAACACTCTGGGCTGCAGATGAAGAGCCCATACCTATCTTCAGCTTTTCTGCACTAGGAAGGGTCTCCAAGAGGAACGAACTCCAGCTCTTTCATATCCCAAGTGAGTAAGAACCCTGCCCATGCAGTACAGGACAAGTTCCAACCTAGAAAAGCGACACCTCCGAGCAGGGCGAGGTGCAGGTGGATCCACGGAGAAGCTCGAGTTGCTGCGGGGGCGGTTTCTG